ATTTCACTCTGAAAAGCCTCAAGTTTCATAAGAAGGGATGGAATTCGTGAGAAGTAGAAACATATTTACCAGCTAAGAAAGCAAAGATTCAAAAAGTCCAATAACTAGCAATTCAGAAGCAAAACTGCATGGAACTCAGGAGTCTTATCTCTTCTCCTTAGAGTGTGTTTGTCCCAGAAGGTTGCCTCCCCTGCCGCTGGGTCACCGAGTTGTCCGTGGTCAGAGCCTCCAAGGGGAACACAAGAAACAGGCTATTTGCGCACAGGCTTCGCTCTGACCCTGCATCACCTCCCACGTGGAAGACTCAGGCAACTGGGAGGGACTTGCTCCTCTGCATCTTGCCTCTTTCTCGGGGTGGGGTGAGGGTCGGGGAGGAAGGGGAAGGCCCTACCCGAAGAACTAGTGGCTTTGTGACTCCTACAGATCCTTTTGTCCTCTCTCAAATAACAGGAATTTTAAAACAAAACCAAAAACTACACGAAGGAAAAACAAGAGAGAAAATGGCAAAGATCCATGCCCTCCTCTGACCTCTAGTTCCCACATTTGTCCTTATTCTCCAGGAAAATGTTAAAATTATTCCCATAACCTCAGCTGGCTCAGAGCAAAGCCCAGCCCCAGCCTGCCTCTTCACTCCCTCAGGGAAGGTCTGATGAGCACCTGCTGGTGCCTCCGGGGCACTGTGTCAGGCACGGTGCATGACACAGAGATGGCTGAGGTACCCACACAGCCTTCAAGGAGTTAGAGTACAGGGAAGGAGATACGGCATGGGCAAAAGCAAGTGAAGTGGGAAGAAGAACGGTATCTGAGCCCTGGGAGAGGCCCAGACAGGGTTGGGGGTGCTGGGGCGCAAGAGGCCACTACCACTCTCAGCCCCTGATAGGCACCAAGCCCCAGGTCATGCCAACCATCCAGACCAATAGGGGCTCTTGGAAAAGCGTCCCCTTAAGAAAGACCCCAGTCAATTCTTACAACTACTACTACTATTACGACTACTAGCAGCAGTAGGACTACTACTAATAATAGCAGCAATAATCATATCTTACGGTAATGAACACTTCCTGTGTGCAAAGCACTTTCCATGTGTCATCTTGTTTCATCTCCAGAGCAACTCTATTAGATACAACACTATCATTACCCTCCTTTTACAGATGAGAAAACTGAGACTTAGAGAGCTTCTTTTACTTATTCATTCAAGAGATATTTTTTTAGTGTCTACCATGAACCTGATACCACTCTAGCAGTGACCATAAGACAGACAAAATTCCTGACTATATATGGTGCACACATTCTGGTGAGAGATAAATACCTTGCCCAAGGTCACTCAGCCTGTTAAGGCGGTGGAACCAGGATTTGAACAGCAGCCACTCTTGCCTGCAGAACCTATGGTACCTTTCAAACTCCCAACAAGCAAGCTGCCTGGACCCAGCCACTGACACTTATAATCATCATTAACACTAAAATACCACATTTCCTCTATTTTAAGATGCATAGATTTTTCACATTTTAGTGTCTGAAATCTGGCTGCATTCTACAATAGATGTTGAAAGAAACCTGTGGGCTGCAGGCAGAGAAGTCAGTGATAATACAGCTGATACTGCTGTTCAAGTGTGGATTTAGCTAAATACAGGTTATCTGATTACTGACTCAGTTGAGTTTTCTGCAAATGTTAACATAAAATGCAGTTGAATTTTAACTCAAATTACGGTCCCTGATATTACTTCACATACACTCAAAAAATTTCACTATAATGCAATATTGAAAGAAAAATCTATTGTGCATGCAAGAGATTGCCTATCATATGCAATTTAATTAAATGGAGTAGAAATCACCAAATCTGGAACAGATCACAGAATTTTCAAAGTCTAAAGGGCCGGCATTTAAATGACGAACATCTAATTGTCAGAAGTTTCCAGCTATTTAACTTCCAGCAATATGTGATCAGTTCAGGGGAAATAAAACTATGGATTTAGCCAAAGAGAATGTCGCCAGACCCATAAGCCTCAGAATTACACTGCTAATCTTAAATGTACCAAGGCATCAAGATCATGAGTAATCTACTTTCCGAAAAGCATCACAGAACTCCAAAGTAACACTTTATGATAAGAACTAAATATGAAACACAACTTAATTAATGTGAAAAATACCTATAGCCTAACTGATTCTACAGAAAGAGCGACTCATACATACGTATATGAATAAACAAGAGCCACTATAGACAGTTTTTAAGCGAGTATATTTAATTTCATGTTTCTTTGTTTCTGGAAAGATAAAATTAACTCAATGGCTTATTTTACCATTATCAATGGCAAAAATTGACATTATTGCTATTATCATTGGTGCCTCAAAATAGAGGATCGTGGTAATTACAATGGCAGCTGCCATTTATTGAGCACCTGCCAAACACCATATTTGATATTTACTTATCTCTAACCCTCATGACAACTATATATAAGGGAGAGACTGTAAGGGAGAGACTCTTAACTATTCCCATTTTACACAGAAGGAAATTAAGGTTCAAAGAAACCAGTGACTTCTCAAGGTCAAACACTAGTAATCATGAAGCCAAGCATGGAACCATGGAAGTCTGCCTGAGTCCAAAGCCCAGGTGGTTTCCAGGGTACTGTAATGCCTCTCACTACAACACCCACCTCCACCCCCACCCTGGCATAGCAAGCAGAGATAAGCCCTCACGTGAAGAAACCTTACTACGATCTCAGAGAAGGATGGGCCAGAATGAATTCAAGGTAATAGGGTCCTTCCTTCTCAACCCAAACACTCCCAAGTTGATCCAAATCTTGCTGCTTATATAACTGCTCCCATTTTCTCAAACGACACTTGAGGACCTGCTCAAGCAGGACCTAAAGTGACCGACTGCCACAACATTCACACAGCCACTCAACTGACTGGTTCATCCCTTTAAATTGTGTCAAATGGGTAGCACAATCCAGAGAAGTCAGTAAACAGGCTCAGCAAGAACAAAGGAATCCTCTCCGTTGCTGAGGTTGGGGCAGGAAGGGGCCCATGGCCTGACCACAGGCATTCTTTCCCCGGAGGTGCTGTTTCACTTCAGTTAATGGAAGGAGATTCCTCCCTGAGCCTAAGGGAGAGTCCAGCTTGTTGTGCCAGTCATCTTCTAGAGATTCCTCTGAAGTCTCGGAACAGCCCATAGTGCCAATAGAAACCTGCTTTTGTTCTTGACCAAACTTTTGCAGTATGACAGGCAGGGGCTTGTGTATTTCACCTCATACTCTGGACATGTGCCTTTGGACACAGCCTTATCTCCAATGTAAAATCCTTTTCAAGGGCTTTTCCTTAAATATTCCATTGATAACAGCCATTATTTGAGGCTATTGGACACTAAGAGTGGACTAGGACAATTCAAGAGACATTTCTTGAGCATTTCTGAGGACACAGAGATAAGACATGGTCCGTACCATTAGGGAGGGAGGAGGTAAGATCAGCTCAGAACTAACTATAATAAAAAGCAGAACAAGGTGAGTGTTATCCTGGAACACAGAGGAGAAAGGAATTAATTCCAGATGCAAGATCAATAATAAACTCAGCTAGCACTGATCAAGCACCTACTAGGTACCAGGTACTAAACCAGGCATTTACTTATGTTATCCCATTTAATCCCCACAACCATCCTGAGAATACGTTCTATTACCACCATCACTTTATAAATGAGGAAATAATATAAGAACTCATACAACTTAATAGAAAAAAAAAAAACAAGCCAATTAAAAACGGGCAGAGGATCTGAATAAACATTTTTCAAAGAAGACATACTAATGGCCAACAGGTACATGAAAAGATGCTCAACATCACTAATCATGAGGGAAATGCAAATCCAAACCACCAGGAGATATCACCTCACACCTGTTAGAATGGCTATTATCAAAAAGACAAGAAATAACAAGTATTGATGAGGATGTGGAGAAAAGGGACCCTGCTGCGCTATTGGTGGGAATGTAAATTGGTGCAGCCACTATGGAAAACAGTATGGAGGCTCCTCAAAAAATTAAAAATAGAACTACCCTATGTTCTAGCAATTCCACTGCTGGGTATTTATCCAAAGAAAAGGAAAACACTAACTCAGAAAGATATATGCACCCCCATGTTCGGTGCAGCATTATTCACAATAGCCAAGATATGGAAGCAACCTAAGTGTCCATCAACGGATGAATGGATAAAGAAGATGTAACATATATATCGGAAAGGGAGAATAATCCAAGCAGAGAGTCAGCGATAGGGAAGGCCTAGAGGTAAGACAGGTCAGCAGTCACAGGTCAGCTAAAGCAGTGGGCAGAAGTCAAGCTTCTGGCACAAAGGAGGAGGTATGTGGTCAGTGAGTTAGGAGACTGGGTGTCAACAAACCTGGGCTTTAGTCCCGGCATGGGCACTGACTAACTGTGTGACCTTCAGCAGTTCCTATCCCCTCTGTGGGCCTCAATTTCCTCATCAGTGAAAATTCAATCCCTTTTTGAAATAGATGTTCTCACCGGTTTGTTCTGGCTTAAATGCTCAATGATACTACAAGAGGCCACGTGGGTCCGCGGTTAAGATCAGGTGACAGGTAGACCCCAGCTCGCAGTGATCCGCTGAGTGACCTGGGGCAAGCTGACTAACTCCACTGAGTCTCAGCTTCCTCATCGGTCAAGTGGGGCAACAGCAATGCCTGCCTCACAGGGCTGTGGTGAAGGCTGAGTGAGCCCAACATCATAAAGCACTGAGCACAGCACTTGGCAAACTGTCAACGTTCCATGAATAGGGGCAGCTCTGTCACCATCATCATCACCACCGTTATTTCTTTTTAAAGGATTCAGAAAGTGAATGGTCATAAGCCAGAAGGCCTTTTTTGTTTCTTTAATTTAAAGGGATGACAAATAAGCTCCTTTTTTTTCTCTCTGAAAAAGAGAAAAGATCTCCCTGAACCACAAGTCCCTCCCGTGACCACCTCACAAGTGAGGCTCCTGTGTCACCAAAGAGCCATGCCATACCTTCTCTTCTGAAGAAACGGTCAGCTTGTCACTGGATATCAAGCTGCACACCTGGTCCAGACTTAGGCTAAGAAATTCTTCCCCCAGCATCACCTCTGGAAAGTGCTGCTCTGTTCCAAAAAAAGCAGAAGTTCAGAAAACAAAGTTATAACACACTCCTGCCCTTCCATGAACCAAGGCCATGACAATCTGTGGGGTTCACAGTGGGGTCCTGGGGCCTTTGGAGGGAGGCGGGAGGAAGAGAGAGAGGCAGAGAGGCAGAAAGAAAGACAGCCCATCCTGGCTGGAGGGAAACTAGCCTTTTCATTTGGCAGCAAAGGCATCCTCCTGCGTGATCCTCCGTCCTGAACATCAACACAGAGGAAAATGGGGCAGAGACATGCAAGGTAATGTTTTTTCCATGCTCCATGAGATTAATAACGGCATTGCAGAAAAGCCTCACTGGGACCTGCCTACTTAATTGAGCTCATTTCCCCTTAAGGCGCAAGCTGGCAGAGTTGCAGACAGTGCCCTGTGCAGCTCAGCCAAACAAAAGTGGATCAGAGCTAAAGTGGGGCTCTAAGTCTCTGGGGGTTCTGGTAGGAAGTCAGCATTAGCAGGTTGGCAGAATGGGTCATCCTTTCCTGCCCTAAGTCAAGCCTGCTATAGCGAGTCTCTTGTTCACAGAGGCCCAGCTAAGCCTCCGTCCAGTTGTGGTGGCAACACTGCTGGTCCCGCATTGCTGGGAACAGTCCATGGCAGCCAGGCCTGTGGAGGCTGCAAGATGGAGGGGAATTTGTGGACATCTAGAATGAGACAAAACTCACAGGCCTGAGTTTCATACAAGGGAAACACCGGTGACAATTCCTACCCTGACATTTGCCCAGGCCACCATCCTGCAATTACAGGGACAGCGAAATGCCAGTGAAAGAGCATACACTTCATAAAAAGGAACCTAGATCTGGGGCCAGCCTGGTGGCGCAGTGGCTAAGTTTGCACATTCCGCTTCTAGGTGGCCCGGTGTTCACCGGTTTGGATCCCAGGTGCGGACATGGCACCGCTTGGCACGCCATGCTGTGGTAGGCGTCCCACACAGAAAGTAGAGGAAGATGGGCATGGATGTTAGCTCAGGGCCAGGCTTCCTTGGCAAAAAAGAGGAGGATTGGCAGCAGTTAGCTAGGGGCTAATCTTCCTCAAAAGAAAAAAAGGAACCTAGATTCAAATACTGACTTTGTCATTTAAGAGTTGTGTCCCTGAGCCAACAGCATCATCTCCCTGGGCCTTACTACCCTCATCCGTAAAATGGGGAGAAAACCACTTGTCTTGCCTCCCTCCCATGCTCTGAAGGGAAAGGAACTGTGAAAGTGTTTTGCAAGCTATTCCAAGGTGAGCCAGCCCAAGAGCTGACTATTCCTGGTACAGCAGACGCTGGAGATCACAAGATCCTTTGTCATTTGCCCCAGGCCTACTCCTTCCTCAGTTCTCTCACAACCTTGCACCATCGCCCCGGGGAGCATCTGTGCTCCTTGCCCTCCAGGCTCTAGGCCTTCCCCACCTTCCTTCTTTGATGGCCTTGCTCTGGCCTGGCAGCTTCTTGGATAATTCCAGAAGGCTACACTCCCAGTTCCCCCTGAGGGCTACCCCAGCTTGGTCTGGCCAGGCCCTCAAGTGAGATTCAGAGTTCCTCCATCCCTGGGAGGCTGCTGAAATATCAACTTTGCTGTAGCTGAATAATGAAAAGGAAAATCAGAGTGTGCTAAGGCCCTCTCTCACACTCTTTAACTTCTTAAAAACCAAACAAAGAACTAAGGTTTAAATCATTTCTTGCCAAAATCATTTTTAACTTTTCATAATGAAATAATTTCAGGTCCAAAGAATTCCCGCCTACCTTTCATCCGGATTCCCTAAATGTTAATATTTTACTCTCAAAGATTGAATAATAAACAATCTTTTCATCTTTCACTGGACAAAAAGGGCTCCCAACTTGCTCGCCACCGGCCTAATGACATCACCGGAAGCCACAATTAAAGCTTGTCCATCCTGAATCTCGGAAATGGTTGTACATCACAAGACAGATGTAAAAGTCAGATCCTGGGGCCAGCCCGGTGGCGCAGCGGTTAACTGCGCACGTTCCGCTTCTCGGCGGCCCGGGGTTCGCCGGTTTGGATCCCGGGTGCAGACACGGCACCGCTTGGCACGCCATGCTGTGGTAGGCATCCCACACAGAAAGTAGAGGAAGATGGGCACGGATGTTAGCTCAGGGCCAGGCTTCCTCAGCAAAAAAAAGAGGAGGACTGGCAGTAGTTAGCTCCGGGCTAATCTTCCTCAAAACAAACAAACAAACAAACAAACAAACAAATAAATAAATGAATAAAAGTCAGATCCTTTATGAAGGGAAGCAACTGCCTTAAAGTAAGAAGCTGCTCTTGATTCTCTACGTGTCAGCAGGAAAAAGTCTTTAGTTAAAGCTCGGATTTTAGGGCAGACATTGAAAGGAGCTCCCTAAACAAGGAAATATTTAAGACTAGATAGTATTATTTTTAAAGTGTCTACTCCTAAAGATTCTAAAATAAAAGTAAGTGAACTATCTTCTTTGGATGATGAGAATTCATTCTTGGCCTGGAAGCTGGGAATGTAAAAGGGTTCTCCCTACGTGCTCTTTCTGGTCCAAGAAGTTTCTGGAGCAGAGTCCCCCATCTGCTGGCAACACCCAAGAAATAGTGGAGAGAAAAAGCAGTCGCCACACAGTGACAAAGCACAGGACATGGAGGCTCTGTGGGCCAGCCAAGGCTGAGCTCAGCAGGAGAATCTGGCAAACGAACGCCAACATCCCTGTGGCCCAGAGCCACACCCAGCCTTCCCACCTTTATCTTTGGTTGACCAAAAACCTGACATTTAAAGGAGGAAAAAGAGTGAAGAGAAAATGAGGAGGTGAGAGAGTAAAATTCTGGGCTGTGAAAAATTCTTCCTCACAGCTCATAAAGCCAAAAGTAGATGGGTTTGGATCTTGAAAAGAAAGAAAACGGAAGTACAGTGATGCATATTCTAGGTGGCTTGGTGAACAAACCAGGAATTCTCAAAGATAAATCAAGGAAGAAAGTAGTCAGCCCCCTACACCTCTCCATCTCCCTCCCTCTGGGGCACTGCACGATTGGAATCTGGGTTCCTTCTTTCTGCAGTAGGCTGAATCTTTGCCCAACTGGAACGTCCCACTGAGATCCCTTCAGGAATCCTCCTGGGAAGCAGCGTCTGGCGGGGTGGGGGCAACAAGGCAGCAGCAGCTTCTTGCTCAAGGCTGGCACCCCGGGACCCAGGAGCTTTGCAGAGCATGAGCAGGAACAGACAAAGAAAGACAGCAAAGAAGAAAATTCCTTCCCTTCCCCCCTCAGTCTGAGGAAATAGGGCTGAGCCCCCAGACTCAAGGGACCAGAGTCCCTTTTCTGTTAGCAACATTCAAGAAACAATGAGACAGAAAAACGCAGAACAGGATGCTCTCGCTAACTTGATTTCCTGGGACACAGGAGTCCCCCAGAAGACTTCGTATTCAAGTCAGCCCTCTTCCCAGTAGCTTCCTGGAAAGAACCCACTCTGTTCCCAGAAGACACCTCTCTGAGGATCAGCTTCAAATTTTAACACTCGTATGTTCGTTTGGAGATTTTTCTTGTTTTGCTTTGCTGTGAAACGTATTAAGGGAGAATGTAGTGAAGAGCCTTGGCTAAGAGTCAGAAGACCTGGGTTCAAGTACTTGCTCCGCCTCTCACAGTCACTTCCTTCCAGGCTCTGGCTTCATCATCCATAAAACGGGACCATAACACCTGACCTAGGTCTCAAGGTTGTTTTGAAGCTTGAAGATGATACACATATTAGTCCATTTTGAGATCCTTAAGAAACTCTTTAGAAATGAAGGATGAATATAATCAACCACGTTCTTGCTTCACAAAGTCCAGTTCTGTGGGCAGCACTGCTCTCGAACAGAGAAGCTTCTCCACACCGACAGAGACAACCTTTGGGACTGCAGGTCCCGTATGGGGAGGCTGCAGACCTCAAAAGTCTTAGAGAACCACTTTACTACATTGAGTTCAACTAACTTCCTGGTAATACAGGTTCAATTTCTTAAAGCTGCCGTCTTATCCATCAAATGGGGCTAACCATAGTACCCCATCTCATAAAGGTGTACAGGCAACAAATAAGCAAGCATATGTAACTCTCATTTACTGAAACCATAGCAAGTGCTCAATAAGTGTTAATGTATGACATGCCATGTGCAATGTTTCTTCAAAAATGAAGAATGCAGAGCTGATGCCTACAAGGAGCTTACTTTCTTACAAGATGGGTAAGACAAGGCACCAACAACTCCAAGCCAGAGTCCATAGGGCCATGACTGGGAGAGACACGCTAAGTATAAACAAAAGCATGGAAGCTAGAAAATTCAGAGACTGTGTGCAGAATAGCAATATTTCAGTCTAGCAAGAGCCTGGTCTATGTCTTCATTCTTCTAACAAATGTTCCTCAGCATCCACTAAGTATGGGGAACTGTGCCAGGCTCCCGGAGATGCAGCAGCAAGGCAGGCCAGGCTAGAGCTTGAGGAATAGGTGGGGTATGCACAGGGCGTAGCATCTTCTAACCATGGGCTAGCCCCTAGAAGGGAGACTCTCCAATAATAAAATCTCACTTTTCTTGTATTTTTGCTTCTTGTTCATTAAAGAGGAATGGAAACAGAGAGGGCGGAAAAAAACACCAGGCTTTACTATAAGTAACAAACACTGTTTGTTAACAAGTTCCAAGTCTTGATTAATGAAACACAATAGGTCTGTTCCTTTCCATTTGGATGAGAAATTACAGAAAAGGGGAAGGGCATCAGATAACTTCAAGTCCTTTCCCCACCAAGCAATATACATATCTTCCTGATGTTAAAAGGATGAGAAAATTGGGTGGCACAGTCCTAGGAGAGGGCTTTCTCTGGGGGCAGAGTTGGGTCTTTTCAAGGAAGCAGACATGGAGAAAATGGAGGGTATTCCTAATAGTAGCTAACACTGCTAGGCATTTGACATGTATTACATCGCTTACCTCTCTAAAAAGCCCTGCTGAAGTGAATATCAATATCCCCATCTTACAGATGGAGAAATGGAA